TAGAGGGTGAGATAATAATCTTCTTTCTCACCTTCCATTTCTTTTTGTGTCTGAAGTTTCTTGCCTGTGCCACAGTCAGCTTTTTTCCAGATACTTTTTTATTCTTCAGAATTTTGTTCATTTACTTCCATGTGAGTATTTCAATTTCTGTCAGTCACTCAGTCTTGAAACAGGTTTAATGTTTACCTTATCTACATGGGGATTTTAAAGTCACTTGCCTTTGCAACTATAAAAGGAAAATTTTCCACTTGTACCAGCCCATGCCTAAGAGATAGCAAAACTGTTGCGTTTCATCACTGATTCTAACCAGTGGAGGCTGATAAAGGCCAGTGAATTTTGAATGTCCACCCCTTTCTTCCATGTGACAAACTCTTATTTGACCTAAGTGAGGACTCCTTCCTGCCTAAACAACAATTAGTCTTATTTTAACCAACTGTGCACAGACTGAAGAACTCATTCTGTTGTGTGCAGAATGCTGGCGCCCAGTGCCTGATTAGCAGAACCGAACACCCCCTCCCAGCACTTCAAACTCCAGATGTTTTCTGCCTCAGTAAACTCTGGTGCATTTCTTCACTGGCAATTGGCAAAAAGATGCAGGTTTTTGATTATTTATTTTGCTTGCCCTGGTGGTCTCTCTGTGTTATCCTTTGGCATGCTTAAGTGAGTCTATGACCTTGGTCAAATCATTAACCTCCCTTAGCTACTGTAATCAACAGAGTGGGAACAATAACACCCACTTAGAAGGGTTTTTCTTTGTATTATATGCAATACCGCAGGAGAAATTACCTAATGTAATTCCTGACAGCTGATGAGCACCAGATAAAGGTTTGTCTCAGACCGGAAAATGACATCTGGCACCCAGTAGGCATTCCATAAATACTGGTGGAATGGTAAATGAATGTTTGCATCACTCCCTGAAATGGGCTGACTGTATAATTCTATAGATTCTACATGCAATGTAGTTGTTGGAAATATTTGCCTGAGATTCCAGAATTTCAATTTATACTGATGCAGCATTTTACTTTATTCTAGCATAACCAAATGCCCTGAGTTAAACTCTCGTATCATTTTCCAAACTAATTATAAATCATTGCAAGTCAGTGGAATCAACCAAAAAAAAAAAAGACAAGAACGAGAGCTTTAGCTGCTAAAGTCTTACTAACTTCCCTATATCACCTTAAGATATTTAAATCATAGAGAAAAAAAAAATTAAGTTACTTGCAGTGTTAATATTCTCAAAGCCCAAATTTCATGCCTATTTTTAATGACGATTGCCAATTAACACACATTCCAAACATTAAAAGGAGGTAAAAAAGAGATTTTCCTTGGCCTTCATTTGAAGTTAACATTGTAAAGATTGGCAATCATAAGAGAATTTTCAGACCCACTCTTTCTCTAAAGTTTTAGGAGCCAAATAAAGATGTCTTTTTGGAATGTTTATAATCTTCACAAGTAAGGCCATGAACCCAATGATGTTGAGATTTTTAGTCTTTGTAATTTTCTTTATAATTTTCATCCTACATGTCATTTGTGTGTTTATGTAAGTCATTCTGGGATTGTAAAGATGTATAATTATGGAGGGCTTTTATCGAAAGGCCTAAAATTAGACCCTCAGGTCAGGACTTTTGCCATGCAACACAGATGGACATCAACAGAAGAGCCCATCCCTGTGACCAAAGAACACTTTCACATGCTGCCTGCCATTATTAGATTTTTATATCCCATATTTGCAGTAGATGAGGGGAATCCATCACAGAGACACTAAGCCATATAGTTTAACCCAGTGTCTAGCTTCCTGTAAACTAGAGATTTTCTGTCTGTTTTTGGACATCATCACAGTGGAAGAATTTAACAGGTTTCCATCATTATGTAGTGATTCACCATGGCAATGATTCTCAGCAATGGGACCAGGTGGTCTTTCTCTCCCTCCTCATTATAAATTATTACTATAGCATGTAATGTGATCCAAGTCACGTTTCTTGAATTAGCTGCTCCTTTGTTATCTGGATAAGTATCATCACTGAGATTATATTCAACACTTTTTTTTAGTGAGCACTCTCTATGAGCCTGACACATTAATGGTTTAAAGGTCTGATAAGACAAGAGAAGTTTTAAGACTCTTCCTGCTCTCTGGTTCTTAGGAAAAGCTATCAAAAGAAAGATAAAGAACTGTAAATTATTTGCTATTATGTAAGTATGTTATATATACAATGAATGAAGCAGATTAGGAGGATGTGCTTTCTTTGTCCAGAGGGGACAGCTACTATCAGCTAGAGCAAATTGTTGTCAAAATGTAAGATCTGTTTTGCTAGATCTCGTTATTTTCAGGTGAGATATGTCTAAATGTTGGCGACCTATTTGAATATGTTTAAAACTCTGCTAGCCAATCAAAATGCAATTTTATTTGCAACCTCTGGATTCAGTGGGAATTACAAAAGTCAGAGTAGAGTTGCTCTTCTCAGATAGGGTGTAGCATGAGCAAAGCCCACATACCTCTTTTATCTCTAGTTACATGAAAGAAATTCCTTTCTGTTCTTACATTTGTCACCCTAAGTTGTTACATCCGGGACTATCAAAGAATACGTCGCCAGGTAAAAGAAAGTGCTTAAACGTAAGATTCTATTACGTTTTTGTGTGGTAATTTAGACTTCTAATAAAACATTTTTCACCCTTAGGGTAAAATCATTTATTAACTGTCATCAATATACTTGTCATCTATTTTCCCCCATTTTAGGGACAGCTTTGGTAACTAATAAGAATGCATGCTTATTTACAGTTCACCCCACTCTACTATGCTTGGTAGTTATGCAATTAAACAAGGCCTGGAAAAAAACCATGCTTTTTAGTGTGAAAGCATTCAAATTTCTTTAACTAAATCCCTCTTTTTATCGTATATAGCATTTTAACATTTCAAGGGCTTTCACATCTGTTGTAAATAACTGAGTAAATAACTCAGATTCTATAAAATTGAAAATTGAGCACATTTGTGGAAGATCAAGGTGTTTTCTTTCAAGTTTTGTATGGATGATTTGAAATACTCCAACCTGACAAGAGAAAGCAGTATTCTGATGCCTTTGCTCCTGCTGTGGACTCTCCCAAAACGGCGCTTTCTCGCCAGCCCATAGATGGTTCAAAGCAAAAGCCGGTTTCTCCCTGAGCATTTTATAGCTTGTGATATACCAAATGTACATCCCACTGTGGTGGGTTCGAAGCCTCTGTACTTACCTCGCTTTCTGCATCACATTGCACACATCTAAGAGGAGGAGTTTTTCCATCAGGGTATCTGAATGCCTTCATGTGCTACCTGAAGTTCTCGATAAGAAACACTCAGGGGAAGTGTTGCCAGGATCATAGTGTCTTATTGAGCATAGACATAAATTTTAAATCACATGCTATGAAGTTAGACGGACTAGCTGTGTGACCTTGGGCAAGTTACTCAACCTGTTTCTTTATCTTAAAAGATGATAATAAAACATTTCTTCATGGGTTTGTTAGACAGAGAAAACACTTATCAAGGGCCTGGTATATAGTGCCTGGCACACAATGGGTATGAATGTTAGTGACCTTTTCCTTCTTTTTGTCTCATATTATTTTAAGCATTCCTCACATTCCTGTCCCTCCATACTCATTTATCTAGTTCCTTACCTCTAAATCCAACCTTGTAATTCAATCTTGATTTACTCATAGATGATTTTGGAATCTAATACACTTGGAGTCAGAATCTGGTTCTTAATAGATCTGGGACCATGGGCAACTTTCTTGGGTTATTTGAAACTCAGTTTTCTCATCTCTTAAATGGGTATAGAACTTAATATCACATGTACTAAGAGGATCAAATGAGTGAAGATATCTAAGACACCTAGAATATTGCCAAAACATGGTAAATGTTCAACTGTCGAATAAATCAAAATCACTGTAGAGATAATTGCAAAAGGTTTTAAGCTAGTTTTAGGCAGAGATGAAGCCTAAACTAAGAAAAGTGTAAGTAAATCTATGCTTTCTGCAATGTCAATTTTGAATTGGGAGAATATTGGGTAAGCTGAAGACATGACATTTTATATCACCAGAATTCAGAGGTTTGAAAACTACCAAGTGTTCGCCCAAACCTAAAATGTGGATGCTTTTCCACATTGTAATCGGTCTCCTTCTACATTCCTGTCCAGCTGTCTAATGCCTGGGCTAAAAATAGTTCTGAGGGCTCAACCTATGGCCAGAGCATCCTTCTTCACAGGTTGTACTCTGCCTCTGAAAGTGGACAGACGTGTTTTTTCAGGACATTCCCACAGGGCAGCAAGGGAAGAAAATCCACCCTCCCTCTGGCCTAACACCACTAAACCAGAGGTCATTTGTAAACTTTTCCTCAATAGAGCCACACAGTAAAGAATTTAGGTTTTGTGGGCCACGTACATTCCCTGTAGCATATTTTTCTTTGTTACTTTTATTTTAAGTAACTTTAAAAATGTAAAAGCTAGTCTTAGAGAAAAATAGGCCATAGGTCACACTGGGCCCAGAGATCATGGTTTTTCTGACCTCTGCTCTAGACTTTAGAAGGGAGAGAGGGAAGGAAGAAGGGTGGCTTGAAACCTTGATAAACTAATGCCATCCTTTAGGGAAAAGGAAAAATAACCACCCTCATTTTAAAAAATATATTAAAAGCATTAAGTTAGCACCTTTGCTTCTATGGTACAACTATATTGTCTAGTCAGTTTTTTAGTTGTTTTATAGTGAGACCGCATCACACTGCTGTTTTTCATTGGAAACTGATGAGGAACATTGTAAAGCAGATGGAGCACAGACTGTAGAAATGAAAAGCACAGAAGAAAGAGCTGTGTGAAAGAAATATTTAATCATAACATGAAAAAATTCATAGTGGCAACTTTTCCATTATGTTAAATTTTCCTCATTTCTATATGTTCTGAGTACGTGCTTAAAAAGTGAGGTTGTAATTTTCTATCTTTGTGCCCATCTCTCATTGGTTTTTGATTTTTGTCTTTTTGCAGGACTACGACTTGAGCCAGCTGCAGCAGCCTGACACCGTGGAGCCTGATGCCATCAAGCCTGTGGGAATCCGACGAATGGATGAAAGACCCATCCATGCCGAGCCCCAGTATCCGGTCCGCTCTGCAGCCCCACACCCTGGAGACATTGGGGACTTCATTAATGAGGTACAGAGAGAGACTCATTTTCTCTATAAGAGTTTTTACTTCATGCTAATGGTTAGATCTCTGTAGGCCACAAATTGCTTGGAATACAGCTATACAGTTCACTGAAACATACTTGTATTTCTTGTCTTTGAGTGAAAGCAAATGTGGCTTCATTAACAATGAACAAATGTAATTGCTTTGATCCACCAAAAAGAGATTGATCAATTAAGATTCTGCATTTGTAAAATGACATACATCATATATTATCATAATTAGTCACACTGTCTCCAAGAAGGATTTGTTTCCCTTAGATTACAAATAATAAATAGACTAACAATATTATAGTGCATTCTAATTTCATATATTAGCATTAATAAATATAACAGTAGTTCACTTTAATTTTCCTCACACTGTACCCTTTGAATCTCAAAAATCATGAGAATTCAGTGCCTGCCCAATGACTCCATCAAAAGAGATTAGTTGGAAGAGCTAAATTAAGTATTATGTAAGTGATTTAAATACTTGTCTAGTTGAGGAGTTTTAAGAGCTTCTGTAAAAGGAAGCTACTTCTCTGTTGCATATAACAGATATGATTTTCACTGTCAAAATTATTATGACATTCTTTTATTTCATTACTGGCCAAGAGTTTTGCTACATTTAATATTTAAGTTTTGAAGTTCATTTATTTATGCTGCTGCTTCAGAGCGTGTCTATAGTTTTACTGTAATTCTCCTATTGAATTTTTATTGTCTGTATAAGCAAACAATACATATTGATGTTGATTGTGAATATATGGCAGAACTTCTCTTTTCTGGTCATATCATTAGTGTTTCCAAGATCAGAATATGTCTCAACGCATTACAAAGTGGAATGCATCTGTTGTATATGGCCTTCAGTCATAGGCTGATAAGACTCTTGTATTCTGGGCTTCTTCAAAATTCATATAATATTAAACATAATCAATATTAGGTTTCTAGATGTACTTAATGCTTGTAGAAAAGGTTTTAAAACAAAATTGGAATAGTTGCCTATCTCTATATCCATTACTGTCTATTCCTAAAATATATGCTGCCTTCTGAACATATGTATTCATTTCTGCTAAATAGGTAATAAGGTTAATTTGTAGTTGACATGATTTAGAAACATATGGAAAGCAAAAACAACAGAATGCCAGTAACTCCCTTTATCCACAGAAATATGTCCTGACTTTGCCAGCTCTTAGTTATGTATAGACCCGGGTAGAATTTGCAGAAATTTATACATATATGCCTAGATCTTTTAGAAAATGTAAGAGTGCCTAATGATTTTATTTCTAATTTAGTGTTTGTCGTCATAAGAAATTGTTAAGTTATTCCTATGGTTGTCAATTCAAGATATAGTGAATCTTCTGACTCTAGGTATAGGAACTAGACTTTAATTTTTTTTTATTTTATTTTATTTTTGTAGAGACAGGTCATTACCAGCCTGTTTCCCAGGCTTGTCTTGAACCTTGGGCTCAAATGATCCTCCTGCCTCAGACTCTAAACTGCTGGGATTACAGGCATGAGCCACTGTGTCCAGCTGGAACCATACTTTTTTGAAGCCAGAATTCTGGCTTAAGGATAATTCAGCAAATCCTTACTAAATATTTCTGCCTATCCCTGAAGTATCAGTATTCTGTGGGATTTTGTTTCATCCCTGATACTCTCCTTTTCTCAGTGCTAAAGATCAAACAGTAAGCATTATTTATAAGGCTATTCCTCATCTGATTCCTGCCCTCTTCTACCCCTCAACCCCCCACTTTCCCTTTCTGTGCTGCAGCCCCACTGAACTATTTGCAGTTCCTCAAAAGCATTACACTTTTGAATGCACTGTAACCTCGGCAAAGCCCTTACCTACTTGGCCATCTGTTGGACTCCCACTTTAGCTTCAGAATTCAGCCAAAACATTTCTCTGTGAAGCTTTCCTTGATACCTCTGGGAAGGGTTAACAACCTGACCCTTGGGTCATAGCCCTCACCAGCTGGGGTATAACTGTCAGTATTTCTTTCTCCCACTCAGCATGTGAGCTCTCCAGGAAAAGCACTATTTCTTGTTCATGTTTTTATAACCTAAGCATCTAGTATGTTACCTAGCTCTTAGATTTTTGTCATTTTCAGGCATTCGAGTATGCACTGTGGCCAATGTGTAGGGCATGGTGCTGTGGGCACCACCCAATTTACGTCTCAGATCCAGCGGATACCGAGTCTGGAGCCTTTCATTGTACTTGTCAGAGTACACAAAAAACTAAGGATAGTGGTTATTCTGAATTTATGTTTGAGTGTGGGCTTTCTCTTTCTCTCTCTGTCTCTCTCTCTCTCTCTGGCTATGTGTGTGTGTTTGTGGTCACTGTTTTTTTTTTTTCTTTCTTTCTTTTTTTAACAGTGACTATATTTTCTTCAGTAGATAAAAAGCATTTAGTCAGAAAGTTTCACTTACCCAGCCCTTCTTGGCCACAGCAGCAGGAGTTATAGTAGAATTTCTATTTGGAATTTTCTTTCTCCAAAACAGTGCTCAGGTACACAGTGTGTTATGGCTGGAGATCATTAACAAACAGGTGTGATTACTTATATGAAAAACTTTGTTCCAAACAACTGACTACAAATTGACTTCCAGAATACAATCTATTCATAATTTGAAGATTGTCTGCATATGTGAAAAATGGCTCATTATGAAACCATCTTGAGCTCAGTGTAAGATCATCCATTCAGCAAACCACTGTTGAACATCTATGTGTGTAACATAACTGTGCAAGTAATATATAGATAAAAGCATAAATTAGGCATCGATTCTCTTTGTGTATGTCTCCTACTTTGCTGCTAGCACAATATTTGTACAATGCAAATGTGCCAGTATCTGAAGCCTTATATGCCAGGCATAGGAGGCCCATTGTGTCTGGTTCTTACTTGGCTTTCCAACTCCATTTCAAGCCCTTCCCCACCCAGCATCTTGCAAGCTACCCACAGAGAATTCTACTTGTCATTCACAATCTCAGTTTACAACGTTGTGCTGGTGCCTATCTACCTGATGTTCTTCCTATCTAGAATTTCCTTTCCCCTTTTTCTAGATGTTGGGGAAACTTCATTAAGTATTTACCAATCCAGAAAGGGTCAGGCATACAGAGTATGGGTTAGGCACCATTCACTGGCATCCCATGGTACCTAGAACTCGCGTCCCTCAGATCCCATGGTTCCATCCTGCCTCCTCTCCGAGCACTTTTGTGGTCCAGGGGAGTGGGGCTTATTGCTGGAGGGGCAGTTTGGGCACAATGATTTGGTGAATTAGTGAATGAATGAACTGAAAGGATCCAATTTGGAAGTCATTCTGAAAATGGCAACTAAATCCATGAGAGAGAGAGAGTGTGTGCATGCATGTGTGTGTAGAGACAGGGTTTCTCTCTGTTGCCCAAGCCAGAGTGCAGTGGCACAGTCATAATTAACTACAGCCTCAACTTCCTGGACTCAAGCCATCCTTCATCCTCAACCTCCCAAAGTGCTGGGATTACAGGTGTAAGCAACCATACCTGGCCTAAATCCATGAATTTGAATGTGATTACAAGATAGAGAAATGTGGAGGAAAGGAGGAACCAAATATCTTGACCTAGAAACACTGCTGCAGTTGGAGACAGAAAGACTGAGGACGTAAGGTATACAATAAAACAATAGTTTTAAGGATATGATGGTCAGTTCTGTAGGACTTTTCAGGGAGAAGAAAACTGTCAGAAGTCCTAAGCCAGTAATAACTTTCCAAAATACCATCTAGATTCTTTCATCCAAGATACCTCTTAAAACTTGTTCATTGTCTTCATTTACTGGACAAACAAAAATGAATACTTGTAAAGTTTTAAAACAGTTGAAAGCACCTAGGAAGAACTCAAGCACATTTTATAAAAATATTTAAAAGGCACACAAATTTATTTATCTGCAGGTCTTATTTGATTTAGCAGAGCACCAAATGTTCCAAAGGAAGAATAATATAGTGGTGATTATAATTGGAGTGCTTTTATAGATGTAAGGAATAAGAAAGCTCATGAGAACATTTTCTAGTTTGTTTATTTAAATAAGGAATGAATGTTGCCTTGAATCTCAAAAATGATAACTTATTTCCAGTCTGGTAGGCAGAGTAAAATAAGTCACATGTATTTTTAATTTCAACTGCAGAATTTCATTTTTTTTTTTTTTGAGTTTTTAAACATGACCTTCAGAGAGTGAAAAGTTCAAATTATTTAATCCCAACCCAACAGTTAGATATTAACATATCTCCAATAATTTTACTAATACTAATCCTGTATATATCTTTGTAAAAGGAAATATACTTCTTTATATTTGTGTGCATTTGTCCGTTCTCCTGCTCTATTTGTCCATTCTCAGAACTACCAAGACTGGGTAATTTATAAAGGAAAGTGATTTAATCACCTCTCAGTTCCACAGGGCTTGGAAGGCCTCAGGAAACTTACAGTCTTGCTAGAAGGGAACGCAAACGTGTCCTTCTTCATTCGCATGGCAGCAAGAGAGAAAAGCACTGAGCAAAAGGGGAAAAGGCCTTTTGATTATAAAATCATCAAATCCCATGAGAACTCATTATCGCGACAGCAGCAGCATGGTGGCAACTGCCCCATGATTTAATTACCTCCCACTGGGCCTCACTCACAACATGTGGGGATTATGGGAACTACAATTCAAGATGAGATTTGGGTGAGGACACAGTCAAGCTATATCATTGTGTGTGTACACACACACATGCATGCATGTATACACATATATACTATATATATATATACACACACAATCTTTATGTGTGTATATATGTATATGTATTAAAAAGTATATGAAGTATAAAATAGTATATGTTTTAAATAGTATGTATTAAAGAGTATATGAGGTATATTTCTCTACTCAAAAGTAGACCACATTTTTATTAATATTGTTTAAAACTTATGGCAGCTTCTTACAACTTGCATGAAATTACTAACGTTTAAAATGCTTGTCTTTTTCTCCTATTAAT